CAATCCCAGGACCCGGGGATCATGACCTGAGCCGAAGGCAGACGCTTAACTGACTGAGCCACCCAGGCGCCCCAATATGACTCAGACTTAGAAAGAAGGAAACCCCTGTCTTTGGTGATGACATGGATGAAACTGGAGGTCTGTGTGCTAAGTGAAATAAGCCAGACACAGAAAGACAAAAACTGCATGGTGTCACTTATGAGTAGAATCTAAAAAAGTTGAACTCTAGGGGCGCCTGGGAGGCTCAGTCAGTTAAGCATCTGCCTTCTGCTCAGGTCATGATCCCAGGGCCCTGGGATCAAGCCCCACATCAGGCTCCCTGCTCAGCGGGGAGCCTGCCTCTCCCTCTCTCTCTGCTGCTCACCCTGCTTGTGTTCTCTCTCTCTATCAAATAAATAAAGTCTTTAAAAAAAGAAGAAGAAGAAAAAGTTGAACTCTAAAGAAGCAGAGTAGAATGGTGGTTGTCGGGGTGGGGGAGGGATGGGAAATATTGGTCCAAGTTTCAGTTATGCAGGATGAACAAATTCTGGGGATCTAAGCATGGCGACTATAGTTAACAATACTGTATTGTATACTTGAAATTTGCTAAGAGGAGATCTTACCTCTTTGCATGAAAAAAAAGAAAAGAAAAAAAGAAAAGGTAACATGCAAAGTGATGGATTTATTAACTAGCTTGATTGTGGTAAGCATTTCACAAGGCATGTGTATATCAAAACATCATGATGTACACCTTAAATATACACAATTTTTATTTGTCAATCATACCTTTGTAAAGCTGAAAAAAAACCAAAAACCAAAAAACCAAACAGACAAAAGCAAGGCTGCAGGTTCCTTTCTTCCAGTTGGTTTACCAAGTCCCTCTGTTCCTGAAGGACTGTGGGCGGAAGAGAGCAAATACACCTCCCACACGTCCACATAAACCCACGCATCCATATATAAAGACAGGTGTGACAACCTGCCAATGGGTATTTGGAAAGTATCACATCTTGTGTTTACTTTTAGCAATAAAGACGACATCCAATCAACAAAACATGGTGTTTATTGCAGTCCCTTGTTTTCAGAGATGAAGGATGGGTGGGGCCACAGAGAAAGCATACGGTCTGGAAACAATGGTTTTCTGGCACTTAATGTTCAGGAGAGACACAGGGCAGGGCACCTTCATATTAAACCCGGTGACCTGTTGTCTAGGAGTCTTCCAGTCGTGTCAGTGTCAAGACCCACTATTTCCAGTGGGGTCCCTTCCCGGGATTTAATCTTGTAATGGCCGACATGGCTACCCAACATCCATCCTCTTCTTTTCCTTATTAATAGTAAAAGAAATGTGGCTATTGGGGGTGGGGGAGGGGCAGGTGGCAGCCCGTTGGGACCAAAAGACAAAGGCGGAAGATTTCAAAGAGCAGGGAGTCTGTGTTTTGTGCGCTCACATCACGGCCTCGGCCAAAGTGTGGAAGAGTGGCATTTGTTCCTCCAAGGAAGGAGAGCCCAGCCTTCTCCAGAGAGGAGAGGCCACCCCCATGGGGGCTCTCTGGAGACAGAGCTGGGGGAGAGCCACCAGAATCTTCTCTGGTGAAGAAGTGGGGCACGAGCAGGGCATGATTACAGCAGCCAAGTGGAAGGACCAAGACCATTCTCATTCTCTCCTTGGAGACTCTCAATGCCGCCGTGGTTAAAGCCACCTCTGTGGTCAGTCAGGTGATATGTTCTATGACTTCTGTGGGCCGGGGAGAATGGAAGGAAAACCAGAGGGGAAACAGAGAGATGTTTCTGTGTTTTATCTGGGTCTAATTAAGGAAGTGATTAATCGGAAAACACAGAGCCCCAAGAGGTGAAGCAAGGAGGCCTTTCAGTGCACGTGATGACTACGGCCTTGCCGCTTCGGAAATGGTAATAGTTCATCATTGAGGGTTTCCCTGGAAGAGCTATTTCACAGTGTCTGATTGAAGTAGCCTGTGGCTGAGGAAATGAATAATGTAAATCCCACAATTGACTTGGATTACTCCCTTCACATCTGAGCTGGGTTAAAATGCTTTGTGATGATCAAATGTCCCCAGTAGGAACCGAAAGGTGGGCATTGTGGGGCTAGAGAAATTGTACTGCTCTGCTTGAAATGCCTGCTTCGTGTGTTACTGAACCTCTGATCATGAGCACAGATTGCCAAATTACCCTGAGCAATTCACCCTGTAGCACTTAAAAAAAAAAACGACTTTTTAAAGGAACAAATTTGAAGATTATTGCTTTCTTCCCTTCTGGATTCTTCCTACTGGTTATCCTGCTTTGCTGCAAGGACTTCTGAATACTGTCACCTCTAAAAAGCGATCTCTCTTCTTGCTCTATGCACACATGTCTGGCCTGTGTGCTCTGGAAAACAGCCACCAGGCTCCTGCTTTCCCAGAATCCCAGGCTGGATGTTAAGTATCCTCAAGAAGAGGAATGGGTAAGAGATCAAAGAGGAAATTTTTTTTTTTTTTTAAAGAGAAGGGGACATGTTATCTGTCTCTGACCATATTATTTGAACACCAGCTCCTTTTTTTTTTTTTAAATAAGGTCCCACAGTTTAAGTCCCATAGGCCCAAAAATAGAATCCTTAAAACTACGTCTCCCAGTTTCCCTTGAGGCTAGATCCAGACATGTGATATAGGTTCCACCAATCAGACACAGACGTTCAAAACTCTGATTTGGAAGTAAGCCAAGGCTGAAGAAGTTTGTGGGAGGAGGGACATACCACTTCAAGCACACGTGTCTGCAGAGGCAGGAGAAGAGAGTGCCAAGTTCATTCTGGCAGTTCTTCGGAATGCTTTAGGGATAGCAGGGCGAGCGCTAACCACCTCATCAACCCGATCAGGGGCGTGGCTTTGATCACTTAACCTGCTAGTGTGTCTCGAGCCCATTTCTCTGGTCTTCCCTGCCTACCATCTCCTCATAAAATTTCCTTTCCTACTAAAACCAGCCAAGGAGGATGCTGTTCTTTGCAGCTAAAAATTGCCCTACCCAAGCGGCACACACTCTGATATGCGATAAGCCTGCACTTGCAAAGGAGGATTCGAGAAAGCTCTTCTAGTAGGGAACAGTGTATCTCTTCAATAAATGGTTTCTAATGCTGACTTGTCCTTGGTACAGAGGAGCCCGGCCAAGGTCAGGAGATTTGAGGGAGCTGTTCTTGTCTCTCAGAACACACAGAGGAAAAATAATTGCAGCGAAAACACAGGATCACATCTACTCTTAGGACATAAGCAATAAGCAAAGAAGTGACAGTCTAAGCGGGGTGGTTCTGAGAGTATTGCCTTTCCCTCCCTGCCTGAAGTGACACCATTCGAGAAAGTTTCCCCTGGGTCGGGAAGACTGTTTTCATCTTCACGAGTGTCCCTTCCGAGGGTGAATCCTGGTGATAGGGCTTACTCCTTGATCCTTAGCTGCCTGGCTGACTTCAGCTGACACAGCTCAGGATCGAGTTCTTTGGAAAGATACCAGGAGGGCCCCGGGAAGAGGACGGTGGTAGGACACTGACAACACATTTCGTGTCTCTCCCCAGGGCTGGCTCTGTGTACGTTGTGAGTCAACACGGTTTTAAAAGAAATTAGAAAGAAAACATCACATCTTTGTGGTTCTTTGACAATCAAAACAAGAGCAAGATAATCTCTTTACTGTTTCAAATGTGATTTCCCCAAATGAAGGAAATCTAAACATATGGCAAGAAGCTTTAAAATCTGTTCATGTGTGAATGTCATGATAAATTTGGAACCGGTGAGTGATACCAACCACCAGGCCACGTTCTCTGGAAATGGAAGGGAATCTCTCGAATTCAGTTTCTCCTTTTGTTGTGGAGCTGACTAAATCTGCCTGGGGGGGCCCCTTTCCTCCCAGATTGGCAATGAGATTTTGGAGAAAGGGCGCTACTTGCTAGGCTTAAATATACTGAAAGGGAGGTTAAAAACGAGGTAATGTGGACAACGTTAAATGCTACAGAACATCTCGTGACGTTGGATGTCTGAATCCCAGTTCCATCTACTATATGACCTTGGCCAAGTCACTTGACCTCTCTAATGCTGTTTCCTTGTCTATTAAGTGAGAAGGCTCATTCTCAGCTTATAAAACTGTTATTCATAACATTAGCAAAATATCTATAGTAAGGGCTAAAGAAATGGGAATTATTAAGTGAAGAGTAAGCCTCTACCTTCAGCCTGGCCCATGCAATGGTAAGGATAAGGGAATATGAGCTTCTAGTTGAAGCCTCTAGAAAGGCTGTAAGTCACTACAAGGATTCAGTAAGTGGCCTTCAGGAGAGAGAGTTAAAAATCCAGCCTGCCGCTCTTTTCCTCCCCGGCTGCTTGAAGCTAGGCCGCCATCATGAACGACACAGTAACTATCCGGACCAGGAAGTTCATGACTAACCGACTACTTCAGCGGAAACAGATGGTCATTGATGTTCTTCACCCCGGAAAGGCAACAGTACCTAAGACAGAAATTCGGGAAAAACTAGCCAAAATGTACAAGACCACACCAGATGTCATATTTGTGTTTGGATTCAGAACCCATTTTGGTGGTGGCAAGACAACCGGCTTTGGCATGATATATGATTCCTTGGATTATGCAAAGAAAAATGAACCCAAACACAGACTTGCAAGACATGGCCTGTATGAGAAGAAAAAGACATCAAGAAAACAGCGAAAGGAATGCAAGAACAGAATGAAGAAAGTCAGGGGGACTGCAAAAGCCAATGTTGGTGCTGGCAAAAAGTGAGCTGGAGATTGGACAACAGAAGGAGTAAAGATGCTGCAGTGGCTTTATCTGGTTGTGCAGATTTTTCATGAGAGGATCAATAAACTAAGAATGTTAAAAAAAAAAAATCCAGCCTGCCTTCACCAGTGAGCACACAAGCTCATTATCAAGCTGTTCGTTAATCTCTGCCACATCCTTTCACTTGGAATTGAAATGAGAGAACTACCTGCCCTTTGGACAATGTGCTTAAGTTTTTTATTGTGAATGGTAACAGGGTGGGGACTAGAATGTAATTGACAAATAGCTTATAGATGTAAAGAGCATTAATTGGAAGACTCATTATGGACAGTTATCCACAGCAAACAAATTCAAAACAGAAGATGCTGCTTGAAAATTGTGAATTTAGTTAAGGTTGAAGGATACAAGAATAGTTAAGTGTTTTGCACAAAGGAAATCTTGTTGATGATCCAGTAGAATTGATGCCGGTAGAACATAGTCTCTTAAGGGTTTTGCTTTGCTTCGTTGAGAGAGGCCTGTTGTCCTGGTTAGTTCAGCTGGGGGTTCCTTCCCTCTCGTTGAGAACCTGGAGCAGAGAGTCCACCAACTTAGAAAATATTAAAAAGACGGAAGCAAACATAGTTAGCGATCCTGAGGTCTACTGCTAGAGGCAAATACATTCCCCACAAACCATCAGCATCACTTGGGAGCTTGTTAGAAAAGCAGATTCCTAGATCTACCCCAGACCTAGCGAATTGGAAACTCTGGGGGTGGAGCCCAGCGATCTGGGCTTTCAGAAATCCTTCAGGAGATTCTGAGCATGTCCATGCCCGAGAACCACAGCTGTCCCCCCAGGAGAGAGATAGAAACTGACTTCCTCTTTCCGGAGCCAGTATATGTTTGGCTCTTTCTGTTCTATTAGCCTACCTTGTATCCTGAGATACATGTCTATACAGGTCTATTTTGACCAAAGTTGGAAATTAAAGGTATGATCGCCAGGAATTTGTTACTAAAGTGTCAGCGGGGTAGGAGGACTATTAGCGAATATGGAATCTTAATTCTTACTTTGCTTACTTTGGCAATGCCTCATTGCACAAATCAAAGCCAGTTTATGAATCACATGATTGCACATTACGAAGCCACGACTGCAAGGGGTGGAACTGTGCAACTTGGGAACAGGAGCTAATTTGGTTTTCTGCTAATTCTAAATTTATTGTGGTTTGCTCATTGTGGCTTCTGTTCAAATTCAGACTGAAGAAAGAATGAGTAGTTGTAATGTTAAAATACGTCTTTGTTCCCGTACAGCACCCTTTATATGCTGAGATGAGAAAATGCCCTTCAACCAGACTGAGCTTATTATGCCTTCCAGGATTCTCTGGCCGTTCAGGTTCCCCATCGGCCAGACCCGCCATTTGTTTCTAATAAAGGAATTACTGATAGTCTCAGGCCAGTTATTACCTGCTCTGTGGCTCAACTATTTTGACCAGGTGCTAATGAGGCCAAGGCCTGGGGTTCAATTCCCACACAGACCAATTAGTTTTGCTTTTCTCCATGTGCCCAGGGCTGCTCTATTAAGGGTCACCAGCCTGCCTGAAGATGCCTCCATCCATCTTGCAATATGAGCCACTGGTTATAAAAGGGGCCGACAGAGGAGGTGGGTGAGGATCCATGAAGCCCCCACATTGGCTCAAAATATTGAATCTGAGCTGTTTGGTTTAAGGAAATGGAGGTAAAGCTACAAGGACAAGAGGAGTTGGTAATCTAGGAAGATCAAGGACCCAGAGGCAGGAGGGAGGGGTCCCTTATTAGGGCGGGGCTATATTTGAGGTGGGGGTGACTTCACTCTGCTCCTTCATAGCAACTGTCACGGTAATCGGGGAATTTTTAGTTATTCTCGAGTACATGTTGCTGCTTTTCCTATACTTGGAACTTCCTTTGGAGCGTTTCACATATTAAGAAAGAAAACCTTTCTATTCTCTGTGCTGATTTGATGGGACAATGGGAGCCATCCCTTAAAAGTGAGGGCAAACTCGTACATTTACTTCCTTTCCATAACATCCTCTCCAATGCACTCCCTGGGCCCCTTTCTTCCTATCCACCAAATAAGAAAAAAACAAAGACTGTAAAGAACCATGATCTAGGTCCAAATTACAAAAGGAACCAACTTTTGAAGGCCAACTTCAACCTTCATTGAAACTCAAGACAATCCACAGCCACATCTAGAATTACAGATTAGGCCATGGGGCTGACTTGAACACTGTTTCATGTGATAGAAACCATTGGGTAAAAGTTCCATTAATTTTTTGTGATAAGGGTACAGTTAAAAGATGAAGGTTAACCTTGAAAATGATTGGCCATAATTGCTAATAATGTTCCAGAGCTCGTTTGCTACAATATAGTAGTCTAGATTCAGTGCACATTTACACAAATCTTTTCTGAATTAAATAAATATCTTTGCCACCAAAACATAGGAAGATGCTCAGAGTTTCTGACTACAGCTCTGGAAGATTTGGCAACAGGGCTTCATGTTTTATTACTAAAATGGGAGAGGAGAGCATATGTGGATAGTTTTTAATTTTAAGAAATCCTTCAGCCTTTGAAAATTCCTGCTGCTACTTCTGGCAATGCTCGGCTAAGTTATTAAACTTTCTAACGCTGAGCAATATATGGATTTCTAATAGAACCATTCTCTTGGTACTCCCTCTTTGTGAATAAGAAAACTATAAGATGTTTTCAATTTGCATATCAACATTCTTTCACTAAGACGGAATTTCCAAAGCAAGAAGAGTGATAAACTCTTTTGGTCTATGCAACAACTACACTAACTGTTGAATTTTTTCATATCGCTGAGAAATATATCCAAAAGAACAGTACCAATGTGTGCAATAGTTCATTATTCAACTTAAGGTGGAATGAAATGCAGGGTGCCTGGGTGACTCAGTCAGCTGGGCGTCCAACTCTCTTGGTTTTGGCTCCGGTCATGATCTCAGGGTCGTGGGATTGAGCCCCACAACAGGCTCTGTGCTCAGCGGGGAGGCTCCTTCCCAGTCTTGCTCCCCCCCTTATGCAAACTCTCTCAAATAAATAAAATCTAAAAAAAAAAAGGTGGAATGAAATGGGATGGGCCTCCTAAACTTATAAAAAGAAGAAAAACAAAACATAAAAAAAATGGTAGAAAATTGAGGCCTGATTATAAAAAGATGACTTGGTTTCTCCTGCGTCACATGAATACTGATAAATATGGTCCCCTAGAAACACTCTCTGTGACTGCCCACTCAGTCCACCCCACACTACGACCACTCGGAGGTCTTTTTGGAGCTATTTCATAATTGGCTTCGCAGCTTACAGAATATTCTTCTAAATATGACAGGAAAACTTGGATTTTTAAGGAAGGAGCTGAATTTTTATTTTTAAAAAAAGATTTAGGGGCACCTGGGTGGCTCAGTCGGTTAAGCATCTGCCTTCAGCTCGAGTCATGATCCCAGAATCCTGCTCTCTCGCACACTCTCTCTCAAATAAATAAATTTAAAAAAAATTAATTATTTATTTGAGAGAGAGAGAGACAGAGGGAGAGGGAATCTCAAGCATAATCCCCACTGAGCACAGAGCCCGATGGGGAGCTCGATGGGGAGCTCGATCCCAGGACCCTGAGATCATGACCTGAGCCAAAATCAAGAGTCAGCCCCTTAACCAACTGAGCCACCCAGGCGCCGCAGGAGCTGAATTTAAAAAAACAAAAAACAAAAACATTCCAAAGTTATACAGAGCAAGGGTTGAGAGAATAAAGCAACTCAACGTGGATATTGGGGTTTCACTCAAAAAGGAAATGAACTGGGAGTGTAAGTCCATTTCAGTGTTTGTAAAATTGCTTTTGGGGGTTTTGTGCTGGTGATCATCGTTACTCCTCAGACAAAGGAGAAGGCGCTGCTCTTGGACATCTACCCCCAGGAAGTCCATCAAGTCACCTGACAAAGAAAAGACCTCAGCCAGGGGCTGAGAAGTCCATCCCAAATTCCCGGAGCCCTCAGAGCCCTGTAATCCACCCACAAAGAAGGGAGCTGACCCCAATAATACAGGGGTGGGCAAGAGAATCACTCGGGGCTTTGTACGAAGTTGCTACTTATTTCTGTATTGGTGGGTTTAATCCAGATTTTCTTTCTGAATAAAGGCTACTAGAGATGTTCTCCCTAGGTGCTTAATGCAACAAATGAACTTTCCATTTGTGTTTAGCATCGAGAATCCACAGTAGACCAAAGTGCAGTGAAACATAGAGCCTCCCTCCAGAGAAGCCGGCTGAGGCTTGGGAAAGCCAGCCCTGAACCTCTGCAAACGGGCCATCAATCAAAGAGTTAATCACCATGAAGGAGTGAAGGCGGCAGTTCCCCAAGCTCTGCGAGTGAAACACAATATTATTGTCAGAAACAGTGAGAAGTAAGACCACTACTGGATCCTGCATCCTTCATATTTAAGATCCATGAGGACCCACCATTGCCCAGCAGACACTTCACATGTCCACGGAGCCCGCGTGGGCTCCTGCCCTTGCTCTCACCAGTGAAAAGCTATGTGAGAGAGAGGAGTAAAATGTTCTTGAATCTTCCTCCTAAGACTGCTGTGAGCATGAACAGAGTGGAGGCACACTGCTTTGCCCAGGACTTGGATTATGGTAATCACTCAATAGAAGTAGCTATCCTTAGTATTACTAGAGTTGTGATTATTATTTTTGCTTTTTATACAAATTTCATGGAAACTTCTTAAAGGTTACTGAGAATCACTTCATTTTCAGTTGCCTTGCTTTCCTCCTACAAATTTTATTCTCTCTTTCATCCCATTTACTGTCTTTGTATCTAAGCAGTGCCAGTTTGGAATAATTCTTTCTCCCTCTCTTCTACAAGACCATAGACAGGGCAGATCAGTTGATTAGATATGTTCACCAAATTTCAAAATACTAGTGTGAGACCCAAACTAGGTAATCTCAGAACAAATATAAAGAAGTGCTCTTTGCATTAAAAGTAGCAAACCAGAGTGTTATCTCTCTCTCTCTTTTTTTTAAGATTTTATTTATTTATTTGACAGAGAGAGAGAGAGCGCACAAGCAGGGGGAGCAGCAGAGGGAGAGGGAGAAGCGGGCTCCCGGCTGAGCAGGGAGCCTGATCCCAGGACGCTGGGATCATGACCCGAACCGAAAGCAGACACTTAACCAACTGAGCCATCCAGGTGTCCCCAGAGTGCTCTCTTCTAAAAGCATATGTGAATAATCCCTTCCACTAGTACTCATCAAAAACAAATGTAGAGTATGTTGCCGGAGGCAAGGGAAACAAAAGCATAAATGAACTATTGGGGCTTCATCCACATAAAAAGCTTCTGCACAGTGAAGGAAACAATCAAGACAACTAAAAGGCAGGCTACAAATGGGAGACGATATTTGCAAATGGCATATCTGATAAAGGGCTAGTATCCAAAATCTATAAAGAATTTATCAAATTCAACACCTAAAAACAAATAATCCAGTTAAGAAATGGGCAGAAGACATGAATAGATACTTTTCCAAAGAAGACATCCAGATGGCTGACAGACACATGAAAAGATGTTCAACATCACTCATCATCAGGGAAACACAAATCAAAACCACCATGAGATATCACTTCACACCTGTCAGAATGGCTAAAATTAACAACACAAGAAACAACAGGTATTGGTAAGGATATGGAGAAAGGGGAACCCTCTTGCATTGTTGGTGGGAATGCAAACTGGTGTAACCACTCCAGAAAACTATATGGAGGTTCCTCAAAAAGTTAAAAATAGAGCTACCCTGCAATCCAGCAATTGCAGTACTAGGTATTTACTCAAAGGATACAAAAATATAGATTTGAAGGGACACATGCACCACGATGTTTATAGCAACATTATCAACAATGGCCAACTATGGAAAGAGCCCAAATGTCCATCAACAGATGAATGGCTGAAGAAGATGTGGTGTATATAGATATATACACACAATGGAATATTACTCAGCCATCAAAAAGAATGAAATCTTGCCATTTGCAACAACGTGATGGAGCTAGAGTGTATGATGCTAAGTGAAATAAATTAGTCAGAGAAAGACAAATACCATATGATTTCACTCATATGTGGAATTTAAGAAACAAAACAGATGAACACATAGGAAGGGAGGAAAAAGGAGAGAAACAAACCATAAGAGACTCTTAATGATAGAGAACAAACTGAGGGTTGCTGGAGGGGGGTGGGTGGGGGAGGGGCTAGATGGGGGATGGGGATTAAGGAGGGCATTTGTTGTGAGCGCTGGTGTTGTATGTAAGTGATGAATTACTGAGTTCTACTCCTGAAAGCAATATGGTACTGTGTGTTAACTAACTAAAATTTAAATAAAAATTAAAACAAATAAACATAGGGATTGACTCAAATAATCTCTGGCCTCCCTTTCAAAATATTCTGGGAGGGCCTGTTGGATTAAAAAAAATCCCATCAATGCACAATCGTTAATCAGCATGACCGCTGATTATACTCCTAAACTGGAGTTTGGAACCAATACCCCTTCGATTTGTTAGGAGGAAAAATCATCTATTATGTTGAAAGGAAATTACACAGGAAGTGTCTACTCATTTCTCAGCATGTATTGGTGTCAGCTTAATTAAGTGCTTCTGAAGGCTTGCACTGTAAACAATTTTATTCTTCTCTGCTCAAACCTAACCTCTTTCCAACTCTCCCCAAACACCCCACCCCCCACCCCACCCCACTCGCCCTCTCCCACCTGGTGCGTTATACCTTTAGGTTTTGAACCTAGGATTTTAAAGCTGCTGTCATCCTGGTAATCCCAAGCAGATGGGGGAGATGACTGATGGCTTCTGGTCCCCTTTGCTTCTAGGAGGCTTAGCAAATTCCTTGTAGCTTCTTCCCACCGCATGTACTCTTGCAGGTGCTGCAGCAGGCTCCTTCCCTCATAAACATATGGGGACTCTCCTGTGCTCTTTTTCCCCATTAAGTGCCCTGTGAAAACAAAACCAAAAACAGACTACCATCAACTGAACCCAGGGGGAGGAAAAAACAAGAAATTGCAAAGGACACCAATTAGGTTTGCCCTGCTTCCTCCGAAGTGCAGAATAAACAGCATTTTAGTATCAGACGTTAGTTCATAAATGACTCCCTGTTCAGAATGTGCAACCAGCTGGACACGACCTACAACCACAGCTCAGGAGCCCTAGGTTTGGTCCCAGCACCTCTGCTAACCAGCTAGGTGACCTCTGCCAAGTGTTGAGCATCCCCAGTCCTCAATTTTCTCAACTCTACATTGAACAGGTTGGACTAGATGAAACTTAAGGAACCTTCCATATCTACAATGCTGCCACCAATTCTACTCCCAGCTGAATGATGGAGGTTAAACATCTTCCTCAGTTGCTTCTAAATTGCTGCCGAAAAGAAGAGTCTTGATACTTTTCTTCGTGTGATTTAAAAAGACGTTGGTTTCCTCTGGGCTCTAACACAAATGTACCAATGGAATTTTTCATTTAAACTTTCTTAGAATTTTAGCTGAGACTGAATCTAGGAACTATCACCTAGAAATTCATTTGTTGAGTATGTAATGAAAAACAAGGTGAAAACAAATTCTGAGCAATGCTTCTCAGCCACAGAAATGCAGAATTTTCTCCTAGATGTCTGAAAGGGTCAGTGAAAGACTACCCATGGCTCCAGGGATGTGCACTTCCCATATAAATGAAGAAAAATTGCTGTGTGGGAGGCCAGGCCACTAAAAATGCAGAAATTCATGTATGCAAGTGGGGATAGCCACGGTGTCAGGAGTGGGTAGGGAGTTCAAGGTCTGCACTCTTAACACCTTAGCCCCTTGCTAAGAATACCCACATTATCTTACTTAGTTTCTTCAGTGCTTTTTTCCCATCTCTCTGCAATTGGATTTTATAGTTCTTTTAAAATCCTAATACTAGTAAAACTATGGTTGTTGGTTTTTTTTAATTAATTTATTTGACACAGAGAGAGAGAGCGTGCATAAGCAGGGGGAGCGGCGGGCAGGAGAAGCAGGCTTCCCCACGGAGCAAGGAGCCTGATGCGGGGCTCGAATCCAGGACCCTGGGACCATGACCTGAGCGGAAGGCAGACGCTTAACCAACTGAGCCACCCAGGCGCCCCAAAGCTATGATGCTTTTGATTCAAAGCTCACAAGGAAAACTCTCTGTGGCTCCAGTATTGTCTGGCATTAGATGTATTGAAGGCAAACTTCGTGGGAATAAGTTTCAACAGACCTCAGCCACTTAAAATGGCAAGAGCTCCATCCACCAACAGAGAAACCCTCTCCCTGACTTTATTGTTGGCGTGTCTTTACGGGACATTTCATTTGATCTATTCCACAATAAGTTCAATGCAAGTGCGACTTGCCAAAGGTAACCCACGTATAAGCAAAGATTCTAGGATTAAAATCAGCTCACAGACCGGACTCTACTATATTATACTGCTTGGAAGTGTCTTTGAACGTCCTAAAAATATAAGGCAGGTAGAAATCACTCTGGGGTCAGGAAATAAGGGTAAGGTCTACAAACGGCTTCCTAATGTTATCAAAAGGAATAGGGATCATGTATCAGTGTATCATGACTCATTATGTGACTCAGAAAAGTTAATTCTGTGAGTATTGGGGTGCCTTAAAATGAGGTCTTACTGCACTGCAGTGTGAACACTGTCATTTATGAAATGACACCTCACACAATTTCAGGACCTGACTGAGGACACAGTCCCACCTGAAGGATTGGAATCTTGAAGGATTGGCTCCTCCATTATCTGCTTGGTCAGGCTGGTACCCAGATATCCAAGAAATCACCTGGCTATTAGTCATAACAGTGATTATGGGGCGCAACTTCCCAGGAAGCAATGAAGCATTTGGCTTTATTTGTGTGGAGGAAATTGAATCATGATAGTGGGAAAGCAGGATTAGAACCTGATGCTCCAGGAATGACCTTGGTCACTCTTATCCCCTCTCACTGCTCTCGTCTAGTTAGGATGCTAGAAATGAGGAAGCTGCTATGGCCAACGAAGCAGAGGGACAATGGAGATGTTTTTACAAATAAGAACTCCATTTTTGTCATGCCTGAATAATTTGGTGGACTTCTGTAAAACGGGGAGATAAAGTAATCCACCATTCTGTGATTGATTTAATATAGTTCCTCGTGACAGCATACAGATCTGCATATTTGGTGGGTGGGTGGTGTTCAGACTCCCACCCCCAGATCCAGAGACTGGTCATTAAGGGAAGGAAGTGCACCATCTCTAACATCCCAGGGAACCCACTGCCTGGGTCCTATTTCACTTTGGAGGTGGCTACTACCAACCAAATAATCGTCTCCATGGCAACATGGATGCTCTGCCCACTTCCACTTCTCCCATCATTTGTTATGTGTCCGTATCATAGTAATAGAGATCTCAGCCTAGACAAAAGACAGGCCCTTGAAAAAAATAAAACCTTGCCCCGAAGTAAAATAAATAAATAAATAAAAGCTTTTGTCCCTTTTAATCCCGTAAAAATACCACTACCACAGCAGGCTTGAAACATAAATGAATTTTCTTAACTCAAAATTTGAAGATCACTCCAATTTAGGGAAATCTCCATTAAGACACAGAGTGCTGAGCACTTCTGAGAGCTAGTTTTTCTGGAGTGATCCTTAAACTACATTTCGCAGTCTCTGGGGCAACACTCCCACAGAGAGCCATTCTGCCACTGAACAGTGGTGTTTCAGGTTTCAACCTTCCAGGACATTCGTGACCTCAGTGTGAGAGCCACGACCGGGAGCATTTCATGGGAACAGAGGGGACAGTTAGCACTAGTAGTGCTGACCTGTATTCTCATACCTATATTTTGCACAAACAAAACATTTCCAGAAACATCAAGCCAGATAAGAATTTAAGTTTTCCATCTGTTAACTTGCTTTCCATTGCCACACCATGCTTCTCTCAGCTGCAAGAAGCAATTCCCTTAACAAACCTGCAAATTTGTGCTGACAGCTTCCTCATGGACAGCAATATGTAGCTTTAGTTTGATATAATTAAAACTAAACTGCACGTCTTCAGTGATTGAGGAGGACAGGCATTTCCTTAGGAGAGTGGAAAGCTAAATTTAAAATCTAACAACATCGTTCCTGCTTATGAGCGCTCAGATTCCCAGAGAGCACATCTCTCCAAAGAAACTTTTTCTAGATCACATGTTATTTTTTTTTTTTATTTTTTTATTTTTTTAAAGATTTTATTTATTTGACAGAGAGACACAGCGAGAGGGGGAACACAAGCAGGGGGAATGGGAGAGGGAGAAGCAGGCTTCCCGCCGAGCAGGGAGCCCGATGTGGGGCTCGATCCCAGGACCCTGGGATCATGACCCGAGCCGAAGGCAGACGCTTAACGACTGAGCCACCCAGGCGCCCCAAGATCACATGTTATTTTAGACCCAACTGTGATTTTCTACTTCACCTCCCCATCTCTTGTTCTCCATCAACTCTGCAAAGCTGGCCAGGAGAGGAAAAGGGAAAAGAGTGCTTCCAAGAACACATAGGAAAATAAGAAAATTGGGGGGTGCCACTGGTTAGTGTACTCTTGGATTAGGAATGCCCGAGTGCCACCACGCAGGGTGTTTTGATGCCAGACCCCCTAAGCACCCGGGGGACAGGTGCACTGGGGAACTATAGCAACCAGCGTGGGCTTGCATCAGAAACAACATGATTCTAGGGGCCCAGATGACTCTCTCGTCCTGCTTTTGGCCTGTAAGGATTGCCTCATAATAAGCCTTTTAGTCCAAAAATATGAATGAGCGAAAGGAAGTTGGAAATCTGGGACTTTCATTCTACTTTTCCAGCCCACTGGCTGGCGGCCGGACTGGACAATGGCCACTAGGTCTAAATTCCCAGAAATCCTTTTAAAGCATGAATTCTAGGTTTGGCTTTGGAATACCTTCTAAATACCCTTCTCTCTTTGAGGGTGGGGTTTTTCACTTCACCCATCCCAACCTCTCCTCTATGTGTTCCCGGTGTCCCCTCAGAAATCACAAATACCTTCACCCCTGGGACCTCAGGGACTCGGCAAAGGGTTCTTTTAGCCACAATGAAGACTACCCTGGTGGCAACCCCGAGTTCTGGATTTCTCTGACAGAGGATATGCAACACAGAGGAGCTGAGGCCCTGACCGGTCAGCCTCACCTCTTCCCATAAAGGCGTCCCTATCCTCACACCATCTGTGACTCGGCTGGTGTTTGGATTAGCATCTTTTTCCAACACACCCTCCCCGACTAGGAGTAGATGGCTAAGGAAATAGTGGAACGCACACCACCCGCACCACCACCCCTTAAATCTCTCTGGGATCGACCAGCTTCTGGGGAAGAGCTGGGGCCGTGGTAGCAGCTACCTGGGGAAGCTGGAAGCTTTGCATTGGCCAGACAGAGGCTATGCTGGGCGCTGGGGAGAGCCCCGGAGTGACGCTGGGTGGGCGCGAGGTGGCGGGGCCGCTACCCTCCGGCCCGTTGCGGGAAAGCTGTGGGGTCTCGCCCGGCTGCCCGCCCCCCGGAGGGCGCCCTCCCCACCGCCGCTGGGGTTCCGGGGCCCGGCCGGCGCGCCTGCCAGCCCGGGCATGGAGGCCAGGACGTGTGGACAGAGGGAAGGGGGAAGGAGCTAGGGGAGGCCGCAGATCTAGAGAGCCGGAGGACAGCGGGGGCTCGGGGACGGAGAGGCCGGGATCTGCGTGGGGAGCGGGCGCCCGGAGCCTGCGAGAGGGAAGGAGGGAGCGCAGGGGAGAGGGAAGGCGGGGGAGAGGAAATCGCCGCAGTGGCGGAAGGACCGAGGGAGCTCAGGGGAGCCCCAGACGAGGGGCGGCATTCCGGGCGCGCTCGCTGAGCGGCCCGGGACCCCAGGACCGGCTCCCACACCTGTGGCTTTGCGCGGCGCTCGGGGCGCAGCCCGCGTCCGGCTCCCGGCGGTCGGAATCCCGGGGCTCCGGGACGCGCTCGGGGACCCGGCGCCCCACGTCGTTCAAGGACAGAACCGTGCGAGACAAGGCTACCATCAGGCAGGTAAAAGGAGGTGTGGGGTAGGTGAGAGGGCAGGTTGGGAGAGCCGGCCGGGGGGGCCGGGGGAAGAGGGAGGGGAGCGGGAAAGGACCACGGGCGCAGCCTGAGGCTGCTCGGGGACCGACGGCTGCCCAGGACGGGCGAGGGGAGGGGAGGGCTGCGGCGCGGAGCCCGGGGCGAGCGGGGCGGAAAGGTCGCGGCAGACGGCTGGGGTCCCGCCGAGGACTGGGGCGCGCGGGACACTCACCCACCGCCCAGTGGTTGCCGCGCGGGTACATCTTGTCCAGCACGGTCCCTGCGCCCGCGGGCACCGGGGCGGCCGGCCCCCGGGGCGCCTGGCAGAGGACCAGCGCCAGCAGGACGAGAGGGAGCTCGCGGCCGCGCATGGTCCCGGCGGGAAGCCCCTGGAGCGCGCGGTGAGGCCCCGGGGTGCGCTCTCCCCACCGAGCGGTGGCGCGAGGACCCGGACTCGGAGAGCGCCGCCGCCGCCGCCGCCGCCACGGGGCCCCGACTTTATACGGCAGCCCGCGGGGGGGGGGGGGGGTAGAGGGCGGGGGGCTCTTCTCCCGCGGCCCCGAGCGCTCTGACGTCTCCCTGCAGCGAGCCGGGGCGTTGGGACAGCAGTCCCCGAAAATCATCCATCTTCCGGCCGAGGGAGGGACAGGCTGCGCACACTGCCCCTCTCGACCTGTCCGCGTAATCCTGTCCGCCCGGGCCGCCCCCGTTGGATTAATTCTGCCCATGCTCGACGCCTCCGCTCCAACACGATTTCACCCCGGGGTTCTGCAGGGTGAGCTGCCTTCGGATCCTGCAAGGGGGAGCCGAGACCCCGCGGCCGGATCCCCAGGGTGGGCCAGCGGGGGGGGGGGGGGGGGCGGAGCACAGAGGAAGGACGCTTTCAGGCGGGGCTTTGCTGGAGGGGGTTGGAACCAGGAACCCCCTCCGTGGACCACACTCCCCCCTCGAGGTCCCAGTCCACAGAACCCCAGACCCTCGCCTCCCTCTTGCAGAGCCCCCTTCTCACCACCACCACCAGTAATACCCACATCCCACCTCTGAAAGGGCATCTCAGAGATGCCCTTGCCCACTTGTATGATGAGATGTAGATCGCAGCGGGAAGGATATGTTATGTGAACAGAGCTAACAATAACTTTATTATACACCTGGCCCCTTTCATAAGCATATTGCTTCCATGAAGAAGCTGCTTTGATGCCGATTTCTCTAGGCTGCATCTACCAGAAAGCTCAAACTGTCCCTAAACTGTTACTCACACACCTGTCTAGAGTAGCTTAACTTCCCTCTGCTCCTTCTGTTCTCAGATGTGAAGAATGGTCAAGCGCCCAACTCCCCAGGTTCCTGATGCCATGGATACAAAGGGGATGAACACCCTAGCAAAGCAACAATGAACAGAAGCTGGAGGATGCTGTTGCCCACGTGTAGGCTGGCAGCACTGGGGGCACATTTCTGTGCTCCTGCAGGGTGATCCTCGCCAGGGCTGGTGACTTGTCTTGCTGGTGGGTCCCTGGTGGATCCCTGGCGTTCCTTGTCAGCTCTGGTGTTGATACCGTCGAAGCTGAAGTCGTACATTTTTGTGCACATATCTGGTGATTCACTATATTTGTGCCATTCTGAGATTATTACATGGGCACATTGCATGACTGACTGTCCTTGGGCTTGGAAGAGTATTTCCATGCATGTATTTGGCTATAAGGTACACACAAAAAAGCTAATTTCAAGATCACGTTATTAGTCACAGAAATACAGTACTACTGTCCTGAAGGCATGACCCAAATGACAATCAGGAGGAAAAGTCCACACTTGGCCTGGACTCCATCTGTCCTGGGTTCCCAGCTTCTGTCTGCATCCATCCCATCAGTAAGCGGATGTTTCACTGTCAGGTGATCATCCATAGATTTACTACCTTCCACTTGGCTATGAACTTCTGTTGGTCTTGTCCCCCCGTGTTCCTGCAGAGAACCTGGATCACAGCAGTGTTTAATATGTATCTGATACATGAACACGTAACCTGAGAAATGGTCAGGTCTAAATGTCTTCTACAACCTTGGGTCTTCGGAGGAGCATTCAAACTTTATCTTTCCAGATTAAGTTGTCGAAAACGTTCCTTCCCTTTGTTTAATCAAGATTATTTTAGGATCGGGTGCCTGGGTGGCTCAGTTGGTTAAGCAACTGCCTTCGGCTCAGGTCATGATTCTGGAGTCCCGGGATCGAGTCCCGCATCGGGCTCCCTGCTCAGCGAGGAGCCTGCTTCTCCCTCTGACCCTCCCCCCTCTCATGTACTCTCTCTCATTCTCGCTCTCTCAAATAAATAAATAAATCTTTAAAAAAAAAAAGATTATTTTAGGGTCTTTATTTTTTTTTAAAGATTTTATTTATTTATTTGACAGAGAGAGACACAGCAAGAGAGGGAACACAAGCAGGGGGAGTGGGAGAGGGAGAAGCAGGCTTCTCGCCGAGCAGGGAGCCCGATGCGGGGCTCGATCCCAGGACCTTGGGATCATGACCTGAGCTGAAGGCAGACTCTTAACGACTGAGCCACCCTGGTGCCCCTATTTTAGGATCTTTAAATGATGCTTTGCCCCTATGACACCATGGAAAAACCACTGTAAGTACATCGAAGTATAGGAACAATTGTGCAGAAAATGCAACTCTTTGCTAATTCAGGCAAACCACTGTTTCTGGGGTCTCTTGCAGGCCAGGAAATACCTGGGTCCCTCCATCCACTCCTGGTCTTCCTCTAAGCATCCCGGCACACAGGCTGTCTGCACCCAGTCTTGGGCTTGGACATGTGACTTTCTTTGGCACCCCTTAAGGGTGAGTCAGTCTTGCTCAAGGCTGCATTCACAGTGCCTGGCCCAGTCCTAGGCACAAAGAAGAGACTCCCTAGATGGGAACAGATGCATCGTCCCGCAGATATACGAGCCTGAGTCCAACCCCCTAACCAGAAAAGACAATGGCTTGTTACCAGCTAGAGAAAGAAACCATAGCATGTTTGATTCAGCCATTCAATACGAATGAGCCCGAACAGATCCTAGCTGGGTAACCTCTTCTATGTCTTTTATTTTTTATTTATTCTTAAAGATTTTTAAAATTTACTTGTCAGACAGAGAGAGCACAGGCAGGTGGAGTGGCAGGCAGAGGGAAAAGCAGACTCCCCGCTGGGCAGGGATCCCGATGCCGGGCTCTATCCCAGGACCCCACGATCACGACCTGAGCTGAAGGCAGACACTTAACCAAGTGAGCCACCCAGGGGTCCCTCTTCTATGCCTTTTAAAATCTTCACCACAGCCCTGCCAGGTAGAGATGATTAACCCCACTGACTTCGTTAGGGGAAAGCTAAACTGCTATGGGAAAGAAATCTCACACTGCAATGCCACATTCAAAAGACAGGTCTTTTTCTCTTTCTCGTTACAGTCCAGGGCGGATGTTCCCAGTTGGAAAGTAGCTATGTTCCACATGGATATTCAGGAACCCAGGTTCATTCCATCTTGTGCCTCTACCATTCCCTAGTGTGCCTCTCCTCAGAGGGCTGTTCTACGAGGAGAGAAGGAGCGTGTACCGAAATGTAAATCAATGAACTGCTTCCTTCATTGAGAACATCTTCCTATGTCCAGTCAACCCTTGTCAGGGGTTAGGAACACACAGGGTTCGGAACACACGGGTTAGGAGCAGCGTCCACTGTCGGCAGTGTTCCCTGAAAAGAAGGCATGAGCAGATGGGCACCTGGTGTCTCATACGCCACAACCTTCCTCCCCAGATCCTCAGGTACACATTGTCTTGTGCCTGATATTCCATGCTTTGTGCTTTTCCTTTTAGCTCAGTGACTCCCAGACATTTCATTGCTACGGGCAGTTTAAAAATTAATTTCTCCCATAGAACTCAGGTTTTGATGGGCTTTTTATTGCAACACAGACCATATTGCTTAGATCTCCCATTTTCACTCATCAAAGACCTAAGGAACTGTCCATCAGAATTTCTAATCATGTTGAAATAAGTAGTATTACCACAGAGGATCAATGTAATTCCAGCTTAAATCAGTGGAACACTGACTTTTAGTTAATCTCTTTTCAGCTTCCTCAAGTGTAAATGTATATTTTTAAGGCGACTTCTTGAAATATGGAAACAGAGCCCATCTCTGTCTTTGCCCATCGTTATCCAGGCAGGGAGTCTCTGCTTAAGGTTGAGGGGCTATGCTGGCTGTAAGTGGTCATTTACACATCGGTGTCTGTGAAGGCTTTGAGGGCGGGTCCCGCTGCAATGAGGTGCCCCGAGATTTCTAGGCCCAGGACAGAGCAAAAGAAGAAGACTGAGAAGGAAAATGGCTGGGAACAGGGCAGTTGTGTGCGGCCTGTGTGTGGGCTCTAACGTGGCCTCTGCCACGCAGGAACAACTGTGTGACCCTAGGCCAGCATCCGCATCCTCGTCTCTTCATCTATAAATTGAGTTGGTGTCAAGAGGATTAAATAAGGTCATGTTGTATTTATCGACTGGCAGTGGCTTATTTATTCTAATTAATGATGGAGAAATATAATTAGGGCAAGCTAATTTTTTTTAACGATCCTATTTATTTATTTGAGAGAGAGAGAGAGAGAGAGAGTACACCCAGGCTGCGGTGAGGGGGGTGGGGGGGAGAAGCGGACTCCCCGCTGAGCAGGGAGCCCAATGTGGGGCTGGATCCTAGGACTCCAGGATCATGACCTGAGCCGAAGGCAGACACCCAACCGACTGAGCCACCCGGGTGCCGCAGGGCAAGCTAATTTTTATCTTACATTGTGAGCTTCAAGATAGCATAATTCCCTGGCTCCGCGCCAACCCGATGCCCCAGGCTATTTAGCTCCCCTGAGGAGCTAACTTAAGGAGCAGCTACTAGGTACCAGGCATTGTGCCTGGTCATCTGTACATTCACTCGTGTGATCTTCCCAGCTGTCCGAGGACATGGATGTTATTTATCCCATTTCATAAATGTGGACACTGAGGCCCAGAAGAATTAAATGACTTGTCCAACACCCAGACGGTAATGGGCAGAGCCAAGAGTCGACCTCAGATCCATCTGATTCCCAAGCTCAAAGTGTGGTAAATCTGGTAAAACTGGACTTCTTTGTAGCTCCTGGACTTTTCTGGGGTTTGATAAATTTCATCTCCCAGAAGGCATAAAAAGTATCCTAAAAATAATTTTAGAATGGCTATTGGGGATAATTTTTAGAGGCTTTTGGGCGAAATCTCACTGCAGACCTCTCTGCTTGCCTGTTTGCAGCTGTTGCCCGCTCCGCATCCCACCGTGCCTCCAGGTGCTTGCACATCGCCTTCCTACTCGCTCGTGGAAGTGGGCAGACGTGGTGGGAATGTATCAATTTGCTTTCCGGAGAGG